AAAAAAAAAAAAAAAAAGAAGACGGCCAGCTGACAACATATACACAGGGGAAGACGCCATGTGATAATGACAAGAGAGATTGAAGTAATGCAGATGCAGCCCAAGGAACACCAAGGACTGCCAGCACACTACCAGAAAGCTAGGATGAGAGAAGGAAGGAATCCTCCACACTTTCAGAGAGCATACGACATCTTGATTTCTGACTTCTAGCCTCCAGAAGTGTGAGACAGTAAATATTGTTTTAAGTCACCCAGTTTGTTGTATCTTGTTATGGCAGCCCTAGAAACCTAATACAGTTGGGTATATACTTCTAGTTTGCACACAATTTTTTCTATAAATTTAATTGCTCTCTGTGTCTTAGCTTCCAGTGCTGCTGAGAAGTACAATCTTAATCTGATTTCCAATCCTTAGAACATGACTTTATATCCTCTCTGGGAACTTCCAGGATCTTCTACTTATTCCTGGGATTCTGAAATTTTATCATGATTACACATGTTAAGAAATTACCAGGCTGGGTGAAGTGGCTCATGCCTGCAATCCCAACACTTTGGGAAACCAAGGTGGGCGAATCACTTGAGGTTAAGAGTTTGAGGCCAGCCTGGCCAACATGGTGAACCCCTGTCTCTACTAAAAATACAAAAATTAGCAGGGTGTGGTGACAGGCACCGTAATCCCAGATACCTGGCTAGCTGAGGCATGAGAATCACTTGAACCCAGGAGGCAGAGGCTGCAGTAAGCTGAGACTGCGTCACTGCATTCCAGCCTCAGTGACAGAGCGAGATTCCACCTCAAAAAAAAAAAAAGAAAGAAAGAAAGAAAAAGAAGAAATAAACTACCAGACAGGGAAAGGAAAAGAGCAAAGAAAAACAATAAAATCACAATCTGAGTTTATAAGAATAGTTCTTGTTCCTACCAAAGTAGAAAAACCACAGAATTCACATGGGGTAAGGAACTTTGAAGGGTATTGCCTTAGTAGTGGGATTCAATTAGCCCTACATAAAAGACTGAATTGGTTCCACCTAAAAAAATCAAGCCCCAAAAGAATAAAATTGTTTTTCAAGTAAGTAAATTTTACGATGTCTAGCATTTTGTTAAAAAAAAAAAAATTCCAGGCATGCAAGAAACAGGAAATTATGAGCCACAATGAAGAGAAAAATCAATCAATACTGACATTATAATTGTATTCTATGTGTTTAAGAAGCTACAGAAAAGATTGAGCATGTTAAGACATAAAATATCTAAATCCCAGCCGGACACGGTGGTTCATGCCAGTAATCCCAGCACTTTGGGAGGCCGAGGTGGGTGGATCACCAGGTCAGGAGTTCAAGACCAGCCTGGCCAAGATGGTGAAACCCCATCTCTACTAAAAATAGAAAAATTAGCTGGGTGTGGTGGCAGATGCCTGGAATCCCAGCTACTTAGGATGCTTAGGCAGGGAACTGCTTAAACTCAGGAGGCGAAGGTTGCAGTGAGCTGAGATCATGCCACTGCACTCCAGCCTGGGTGACAGAGTGACTCTGTCTCAAAAAAAAAAAAAAGATGTAAAACCCACACCCACACCCAAATCCAACTGGCAGAGGCAACAACTACAATGTCTTATATGAAGAATAAACTAGACAGGATTTCAATATTAGATATTGAAAAAGGATTAATAAACATGAAAACATAGCAATTATCCAAAAGGAAACACAAAGAAAATCTTGAGAAAAAAAAAGAAAAACGAAATGAACAGATCATGACTGAACTATGAGACAATGCCAGGTAACTCAATATACGTGTGTACTATGTCCATTCACATGACTCCAGTAGTCACCAAAGGAGCTGAGCAAGAGAATGGAAATAAAAAATATTTGAAGAAATTAGGGCAGTGTTTGCATTTGTCTTGCTCTACCTGGTATTCCTAACAAGGCACCTGGTAGATATTCAATGTTTAATAAGCATTTCTTAAACACATTTGCACCAGAAGATATGACAACAATGAGTAAGAAATAAGCACCTGACTGTTACTGCAGGGTAGTTAGGCCATCCGAGGACAAAAAAGAGGAACAATATGAAGAGAAGGCTTGGTACAAGTGGCATGTTTTCAGCAGGGACCCATGAAATGGGTTCAACTGAGTGAGCACAAAGTTTGGAGAATAAGAAGGGATGAAGAAGGGCATTCCACACAAGAACAACATAAATGAAGATTTGGGGCCCAGTGCAGTGGCCCACACCTGCAATCCCAGCACTTTGGGAGGCCAAGGCAGGAGGACTGCTTGAGCTCAGGAGTTCAAGACCAGCCTGGGCAACACAGCAAGACCCCCATCTCTACTAAAAATTTAAAAATTATCCAGGCATGGTGGTGCTTGCCTGTAGTCCCCACTACTGGCAAGGTTGAGATAGGAGGCTCTCTTGAGCCCAAGTTTAGGGAGCTATGATGAGCCACTGCACTCCAGTCTGGGCAACGGAGAGAAACAATGTCTCTAAAACAAACAAAAAGACTTAGAACCAGGAATAAACATGACTGAAAATATACCACCTGGACTGAAGTGGTGGTTGCACCTAGAGGTAATGAGAAAGATTAGTTGGATGAATTAGGGTCAAAGTATGCAAGGCTTTAGAAATAGGAAACAGGAGAGAAACGATTGAAAGTTTCTGAACGAACTTGTGATAATGAAATCAGAATTCCAGGGGAGAAAAAGGAGCATAGTAGTGGCATTCATGATGGATTTGGAAAAGAAAAATGCTAAAGGTGAACGGAAAGGGAGGACAAGGGGCAACTAGTTATTAAAACAGTCCTATCATGAAGTGCTGAAATGTTGGATGTAAGCACACCTACCACACTATCAGTGCAGACTAAGGGCTTGGGTAAATGTTAGTCAAATGGAAATACTAAAATTTTTCTTGGTTCGTGAAATTTTCAGAATTGGCTCAAAGAATCTGTAATGCACTGAATTTATTATTTGCTTCACAACATTTCATTTACTTAAGATTTTATAAGAATCAGCTGCTTATAAAATTGTTACTTTGTGGTGCACCCAAAGCACCTTGTTATCTCCCTCACCCAGATATGTTTCATGCTCTTTGTACTTTTCACCCTCAAACAGATTTGGAGGGAAGATTCAAGACGTGGATTTTTAAATTTAAAGCAACGCTGTCACGAATTGAGAATTGACAACATGTCATTACACACTTAATTGCCACCAAATCCCAGAGTTTAAAAATTGAAAGCACCTAAGTGATAGGACCTCTCGTTGTACAGATGCGGAAACTGAGGCCAAGAGAGGGTAAATGAACAGTCCCGGGTCAAAGAGGTAATGATAAAGGTGGGACTAGAATCGACTGCTTGACTCCTCTGCGTGGAGCCAAGGGTTCCAAGCGGTTAGGATCAGGGAAACCCAAGGCAGGGAACAGAGTCAAGAAAGCAGCTCTTTCCAACACTAGGAGGCCGCGGAAAGAGCGGAGCCAGGCCAACCTCAAAAGCCGCAAGTCCAGGTACCCTTACGCTGATGGCGACTACAAAACCCCCGGCTACCCTCCTGATCTCGCGATACTTACCTGCGTTCACTTCTCCGGCTTCCGGTAGGCCCCGCCTCTCCACCGCCTCCTTTCTGTCGTCATTTCCTGTGGGTCTGTAGGCTAAGGGAGAAGATGGCGGCGCTAGGGGAACCCGTGCGGCTCGAGAGGGGTGAGTGCAGCCGAAGCTCGGCGGAGGTGGGCGGAAGGGTTGAAGGAGTGCTAGGTCGCTGGAGGGGAGGAGGGGTGACTCAGGCTTTGAGATCCGGAGCCAGGCTGTCCCTTGCGCTGGCGCCAGAGGCCGCTGATGTCTCTGTGCCTGGCTCTAGGAAGGACGCTGACGGTCTTTCAACTGATACTCAAAGTCCTCCTCTGTTAACACGCACTGTCTCGGGGCACAGCACAACTAAACATAACCTGCCAGCTTCGCAGACACACGCCGCACACGCGTTTCCTTGGTGGGTACAGCATAAGTAGCATTCGGAGACCCGTCCACCCGAAAAGCAAACGTCACACACCCAGTTCGCACAAACTACATTCATTGCCTGTACAACACGAGAAGGGACACACGGTACAATTCAACAGAATCTCTCTTCCCCCTTGTTGGCACGCAAACTTCTTTATTACTTTCTCCACAACCTCACTTGTATTTGAGTTGGGGTATTTGCTAGCTTTTGTGCCCCTCCCAGAAATGGAGAGGTTGCTTTAAAAAGAATCCTACTGACTTGGTCTTGGGAAGGAGGTTACGTAAGTAAGCAGAATAGTGGTAGATGCTAAAACACCTGCAGGTGCAAGGTTTTCAATTTCTTACAAACCCACAGTTGCAGACTGGTTGGTTGATTCTTCCTAGAGCAGACTGTCAAGGAAAATAAAACCTCCTCTGCCGAGTAGTTAGAGAAGACTGAAAATAACTGGCTATGCGCCTACCAGATTTCCAGCATTCCAGCGTTTCCTGTCCTGTTACAGATTTCCAGCATTCCACTTTGTCCCTAAATCCTTTATTTCAAACCGTTTCAAGCATGTTTTTCATACACCAGCATTAGAAGTCATTGATAGGAGTTAAGAAGCACGAGTAAATATTTTGAGTTCTGGTGGTTAAAAAAAAAAAAAAAAAAACTAGGAAAGAGACTAAAATTATATTGCATATATTAACATTTGCATTTACAGTCTGAGTATTACTATTGTTCCTTAAGAAAACACATTTTTTAGAATTACTGTACTTAGAAAAACCTCTTTCCTAATGCCTCCCCCAAACAAATGTGGATTTAATATCGCTGATTTGCTCTTTATAGTGTTCACCATTTGGAAGTCTCATAGTAAATGAGATTCTTTCTCTTAAGCCTATTAAAACGTCATTTTAGACAGGACTAGCTACTCTGGGAACACTTGCTGAGTTAAGCCTAAGACTGACATCTTTCTGGAGCACAATGGCATTGTGTTTTATAGATGGGAGCAAATCTGTTTGGTGTTAATAGGAGTAGGAGTTTTTCTTTGAAAGCTAGTTGTAAGATTCTAACATATTGGTGGTCTTCCCCCCGGAGGCAGAGTCTCACTACTGCCTCTGCCTCTTGGGTTCAAGCAACTCGGCCTCAGCCTCCCGAGTAGCTGGGACTATAGGCGCACTCCACCACGCCTGGCTATTTTTCGTATTTTAGTAAAGACGGGGTTTCACCACGTTGCCCAGCTGGTCTCGAACTCCTGAGCTCAGGCTATCCACCCGCCTCGGCCTCCAAAGTGCTAGGATTACAGGCATGAGCCACTGCGCCTGGCTGGTTTTCTGTGTTTTTAAATGCAGCACAAAATGTGGAACTCATGTGGCAATTAGTTTTGATAGTCATGGCTTTGTTTTGTGCTGTTACAGGCTCGTTTTCCTTTTCCGTTCTTCAGTAAAGGCTCAGCCCCTTAGAGGGATGAATTATAGTCAACCCTCCATACCCATGGGTTCCACCTACATGAATTCAACCAACTACAGATTGAAAATACTCAGAGAAAAAAATCCTGTCTGTACAGAACATGTACATTTTTGTCTTGTCCTTATTACCTAAACAATGTGGTATGGCCTGGCACAGTGGCTCACACCTATAATCCCAGCTCTTTGGGAGGCTGAGATGGGTGGATGACAAGGTGGGTGGATCACGAGGTCAGGTGTTCAATACCAGCCTGGTCAAGATGGTGAAACCACTTCTCAACTAAAAATACAAAAATTAGCCGGGTGTGGTAGCGGTCACCTGTAATCTCAGCTTCTTGGAGGGCTGAGGCAGAGAATTGCTTGAACCCGGGAGGCCGAGGTTGCAGCAAGCCAAGATCGTGCCACTGCACTCCAGCCTGGGCGACAGAACAAGACTCCATCTCAAAACGACAACAACGACAAAAATAATGTGATATAACAACTATTAACATAGCATCAGATATTGTAAGTAATCTAGAGATGATTTAAAGTATGGAGCGGGAATGTGCATAGATTATATGCAAATACTACATTTTATATCAGAGAGTTGAGCATCTGCAGATTTTGGTATCTGTGGTATCCAAAGAAGGTCCTAACAAATCCTCCATGGTTATCGAGACAGCTCTACTGGTGGTTGCCACTTAGCAGGGGAAAAAAGATTACATCAGCTCTGATTCTTGTTTAGAATTCTAACAGACTCTATTAACAAACACTCCCAAGAGTCCTACAGTAGAAAATCCTACAGTACGGTTACAGTTCAGTACCTGATTACATATGATGATTTAGAATCCCTTCTAAATCATCAAAATATGATTTTAATGAAACACAAATTTGAGCACATATTAGGTACAGTTTAGATTTAGTCAAAAGCATTTTACTTTTTTCCATTTTTTGTTAATTGGAAATTTTTATATGGCTTACATATTATAACTTTATAAATCAAAATGATTGATGAACCAACAGTCTTCATTTATCAGTGATTCTGGTGATGGGAAATCAGAATGGTGAAGGTCTATTTGTTTCCATTGCATTTGATTAATTTTTTATGTTTAAGCTTCCTTTATCTCAAATTAAAAAATCTGTTTTCTGGCCAGTCCACGGTGGTTCATGCCTGCCATCCCTGCACTTTGGGAGGCTGAGGTGAGCAGATCACTTGAGGTCAGGAGTTCAAGACTAGCCTGACCAACATGGTGAAACCCCGTCTCTACTAAAAATAGAAAAATTAACCGGGCATGGTGGCGGGTGCCTGTAATCCCAGCTACTCAGGAGACTGAGGCACGAGAATCATTTGAACTCTGGAGGCGGAGGTTGCAGTAAGCCAAGATTGTACCACTGCACTCCAGCTTCGGCAACAGATGAAGACCTCGTCTCAAATAAATATAAGTATCTTTACTACATTTATTCATAGTTTTTTGTCTGCAAACACAAAGAAGGCCATACTATATAAAGAAAACTTCTCAGCCAGGTGCAGTGGCACATGCCTGTATCCCCAGCTGCCTGGGAGACTGAGGCTGGAGGATCGCTTGACTCCAGGAGTTCTGGGCTGTAGTGTGCTATGCCGATCTGGTGTCTGCACTAAGTTCGGCATCAATATGGTGAACTCCCGGGAGCAGGTGACCCAAGTTTCCTAAGGAGAGGTCAACCAGCAGAGGTTGGAAACAGAGCAGGTCAAAACTCCGGTGCTGATCGGTAGTGGGATCGCACCTGTGAATAGCCACTGCACTCCAGCCTGGGCAACATAGGGAGACTCTCTTTTTAAAAAAAGAAATAAAAAAATTTTCCTGTTCTTCAATATAACATGAAATCAGGAACTTCTTCCATTTAAGTCAAAAGGAAGCAAAGCAATAATAGAATACTGGGCACTATAGCACCTGGGGTACAAAAACAGTTTGCAAAAACAGTTTTTTGGGGGAAACAAAAATCAAAGTAGAGATTAGAGATAGTTAACAGTGTTATAGCTGACCTCCTGAATCTTCTAAAATGTCTCAATAAAACACGTATCCTCACACTTCTTAATGAGAATTCCCTAACATGCTTCATATATTTGTATAAATGTATGCAATCTTAGTTTTTTGTTTGTTCGTTTGGGATACAGAGTTTCACTCTTGTCAACCAGACTAGTGCAGTGGCACAATCTCAGCTCACTGCAACTGTCGCCTCCCAGGTCAAGCGATTCTCCTGCCTCGGCCTCCCAAGTAGCTGCGATTACAGGCGCCCGCCACCATGCCTGGCTAATTTATTTATTTGTTTATTTAAAGTAGAGGTGGGGTTTCACCATGTTGGCCGGCCTAGTCTTGAACTGATCTCAGGTGATCTGCTCACCTCGGCCTCCCAAAGTGCTGGTATTACAGGCATGAGCCAACATGCCTGGCCAGTATTTTTTAAGATTAATTGGTACCAGTGTAACATAACATTTTTGCTTGCTAAGCCCTTTTTTATGTATTCTGTGGTTCAGTCGTTAACTGAGCTCATAACTCTTCCTCATTACTCCTATATGGAAGATACTGTTATTTCCATTTTACAGTGAAAGAAACTGAGACATAAGGAGGTCATATAACTTGCCCAAGGTCACACAGGTAGTATTGAGACCAGATTGACAAAGCTAGTTGTTTTTCTTTTTCAGAAACGTAGGTTTTCGAGCTTGTTTGAATTAACAATGTTAATTAAGGTGAAAACAAATCAGTTTATTTCATTTGTACTGCTAGTTTTATGCATTTTTATGGTTTTCAATGTGTCCCTGCCACTAACTACATCTGCTCTTGAACAGTTATCTACCTATGTATCATGTTTCCTTTGAGAAATGAAGAGTGATTTTGCTAGCTTATAGTGCCTTGTACTGTTCATTGCTTTGGTTACTAATAATGATAATAAGGTAAATTTTTATTGACTAGTTTCTGAAAATATTGCCAGCTTTTCTGAAGCAGTACAGTGTTCATCTATCTGTCACATTTGAGTCACCATCCTTTCCGAGGACATTTGATATTTTGTATTCAGTTTGCCTTTGTTTCTCCAAGGTCTTACTTTCTAAATTTTATGCTTCTGGAACTTCAGTAGTTTTTCTTATCTCCCGTAAAATTTAGTGTTCTTACATTTTACATTCTCATCCTCCACATGTGTACACACGCATAATCTCCTCCCCACCAAACACGTGCAAAATGAATGCTTTTTTCCCCCCTCTATTGTATATTATTAGCCCCTGAGGAATGAATCCTAACTGCTACACTGTTACATAAGCATTGAGAAAACCCTTGGAGAAAATTATCTGTGTGTGTGTTTAACTCTAGATATTTGTAGAGCCATTGAATTATTGGAAAAACTACAAAGGAGTGGAGAAGTACCACCACAGAAACTTCAGGCTTTACAAAGAGTCCTTCAAAGTGAGTTCTGCAATGCTGTGAGAGAGGTGAGCAAACATCATTAAAATTTGCTAAAAATTTGAGTTAATTAGGTCAGATAATCTAAATTTGGGTTTAAAATTTCTTAAAAACTTTAGAAAACATTAAAACCAGTCTCTCTCATTTTTTGAATTTCTGATAGAAAAAACATAAAGATGAATAACTTTGCCTAAAATTTTAACTAATTCATTAACTTCACAGAGAACTTAAGCGTGGTGTATTCTGAGATATGATAACTTTGGGTTTTACAGGTATATGAACATGTCTATGAGACTGTGGACATCAGTAGCAGTCCTGAAGTGAGAGCAAATGCTACTGCAAAGGTAAATTTTTTTTGTTTACCAAAAGTAAGAATTCTTCATAAATTAGAAGTTTAAAATATGCAATTATTAAATTCATAATAAACTTATTTTGAAGAGTAACATGTATCTTTAAAGCTACACCAAATTTCTTAAGTACTGAGAAATAAAACATTTGTTGTTATTGGTATTACATAAGCTATTTTATGTAGTTTAGATAATGCATTAGAAATATACTTGCACACAATATGTATCATGTAATAATTGTGTTGTATATATTATATACAATACTATATAATATTATCAGAATCTAATCAAAATTCTAAGACATGAACTACTATCCTCATCTTATTGATGAGGAAGCATGAAGATTAGGTTATTTGCCCCAAACCACACAAAAAGCATATGATAGAGCTGGGGTACTTCCCCGGGTTGATTTTTGCTTTCTTCTTTACATTATGTGCATTTGTGTGTCATTGTTTTTCTCAAATAATTCAGATATTGACCTCAGTATTCATGACAGTTGGTTTGAACAGGGTAATATCAGCAGTTGGTAACTTAATCATTAGCAGATAATTCTTTATGGATAGTTGTTGGCTCACAAAAGGAAATATTGGATTCTTTGTTGAATACAAATACTTAAAACTTTTGGACATAGTTTGTCAGTGTAGGAAAGACCAGAGAAACATGGTTTTAATTGCTGAGTTGTGTGACTTTCACAGCCTGCTGAATTTCTGAGCCTAAGTTCCATTATCTGAAAAATGAGACCTTTTTCAGAGCTTTGAAGATAACAGGTATTCAGTAAATCTTGGTTTCTTTCCTTTTCTCTATTTTTGTGATCCATCACCAAAAAATGAGATAATTACCCTTAATCTCAACTTTATAATTAATTTGAATTAGTCTAAATTTGAGCCTTAAAGAAGATATGCCTCTGTGGGGATTTTTAGTTGTGACTAGTTAACAAAAGTAACAAAACATTCAGATTGGCTATATGTACCCCTCTTTTTCACAATATTGAGTTATTTCTTGACATCTTAGTTATTTAGTATGTAGTACAAATAGTATAGAAGCCAAAATGATTACATATAAGGATGACTACATGTTGATTATATGGGTAGGTTGTGTCCTGCACAAAGGCTCCTGAAGGAGTTGGGCGATCCAGACCTAAAGCTCAGGGCAGCTGGCATGCTGGGGGAGGGGTTTTCCTCCTTACCATGTACAATGTCCATCTGTCCAGCAAGCCTGCTGCCAAGCCCTGTGCATATGGGACTCCGCAAAAGACTGGACACTGCATGGCTAGGAGTGACCTGAAAAATCGTAATATTTCCTGGGTAACTCAGAATTAATTACTCATTTGTCATCTCTAAAATGCCTTCTGTTTAGCTTACCTTCTCAGAATCACCAGTGAATTTGTGAGCATTCAAACATCAAAAATATGTGCTCAAAAGTAAAAGGACTGAAGTAAATAAAAGTCATATTTTTAATACGTAAAACTTTCTTTCAGGCTACTGTTGCTGCATTTGCTGCTAGTGAAGGACATTCTCATCCTCGAGTTGTAGAGCTACCAAAAACAGAAGAGGGCCTTGGATTCAATATTATGGGAGGCAAAGAACAAAACTCTCCAATCTACATATCTCGAATAATTCCAGGTGGAATTGCTGATAGACATGGGGGCCTCAAACGAGGAGATCAACTCCTCTCTGTTAATGGAGTGGTAAGGATGAATTTATTTCTATTTGTAGTGATCTGTTATGACCACCTGGGGGCGTATTTGAGTTATCGGAGAAACTTAAGAGACTTGTGGTTTAGAAATGCCTTGAGGAATGTAATCCTTTTTTTTTTTTTTTCAAAGCACCGTAAGTGTATTTTGCAGTGTGAATTAGCATTCCTTAGTGTAATTTTTAATGACAAGCTCTTCATTAAAGGCAACATTGAATTAGAAGCCTACCCTCATTTTACTTTTATAAAATAGCAATTGCTTGATCTACTGAAATAATAAGACATATAGGTTGATATACTAATTATTTGAAACTTAAAGCCAGAATATGATGTAAGAGGATTTCATATATTTTAAAATGGTAAAGCAGGATTATTTCTTAGTTTTACAGTGTTGGAATAATATAACATTAAAACTTTCTTATATATATTTTAAACATTTTTGCATTTTGAGTTAATTTCAAAACCTAGATATTAGTGTATTTTTTTTTTCCCTAGAGTGTTGAAGGAGAGCATCATGAAAAAGCTGTAGAACTGCTGAAAGCTGCACAAGGAAAGGTTAAATTAGTGGTGCGATATACACCCAAAGTCTTAGAAGAAATGGAGTCGCGCTTTGAAAAAATGAGATCAGCAAAACGCAGGCAACAGACCTAATACATTTCAAAACTTGATATTTCATTTTGCATTTTAGCTAGAGATGTTTTCCTTGTGACTTAACTGATGGCTACAATGCCAATGATTGTAAAAAAAAAAAAAAACAAATTTATCATGAAAATTCTCCTTGCCATTTTATAAATGCCTATTTTAACATCATTTATGGTTCCAGAGATGCATACTCTTTTTTCTGACAAGAAAAAGTAAAAGGTGATGAGGGCAATTCTGTCCTACTGTTTTTACAGGCCTTTTTCAAATGCAGATTTTGTCATAAAGTTGTTATAGATTTTTTAAACTGCTTTTTTAATATTAAAATGTACTTTTACATTCTTAATCTTTTTTTAGAAAAGAAAAGTTTTCTTCATTTGGCTGCTGATTTAAAAGTAAAGTTCTCCAATTCTTTTTTTGCTTACTCTTTTTTTAACCTGTAACATTTCTTTACAGTTTTCCAAGAAATTAAACCTAACAGTCTCACCTACAGCAGTTCATTACACTGTCAGTGTTAACATCATTGCTGCATTTTGTACTTTGAACTCACGCATAATATATATAACCAGTGGTACATCATGACTCAGCACAGTGCAAGTTTTTTACTTTTACTTAAACATAATATATAATGGATATTCATTTGTACTGATTTTTAAAAGTAAGTTTTTAAACATTGAAACAATCATTGCTAAAATATGTATTCTTAATATTTGAGCATTGGGACAAAAGGATGTAATTAATAGCATTACTGATTACATCCCTATTTATATTCAACAATATATCAAATTATAAATGCAAAACAGGTTCAGATTTCATCTCTTGCAATTTTTTTTTAAGTGCTTTTCATTTTTATTTTAATACACAGTATTTGCCCTATATTTTGGTCCTTCCATTCCTAGAGATGAACCAGTTATTTTGTGGTGGGAAGTAGCTGAAGTAAAGAAGAAAAAGTAATACCTTTAACCTCACTAGCTTCAAGAGTATACATTCTTAATAACTCAGTTTAAATAATTGATTTTAAATAGGAAGGAGAGAGAATATATTTAAGATACGTAGAAATTATGATGTGATGTATTCATGAGAATCTATAGTTTCCATCAGAATAGAAACTCATCCTAAAATTGTTGGATTTAGTGATGCAACTTTTATTATTCAAATATGGGAATTTGAGAGAGATTTTATTTCATTGATCCACTGGATGTCACCATTTTACTACAAGGCAGCTATTAGTGCGTGACTGTGGCTGAGGTCTTCTTAAAGACTGAAAGTTGAGGTTCATTTTCTGTCACAACTTACAGGACTGTTTGTACTTTAAACAAAATTTAAGTGACAAATGTTAAAAGATAATGGATTGAAAAATATAAGTAATTTGGCATCATTCTTAACCCTGTATTTAAAAAGTGGGCATTTTGTAACATTCCTTCAGGAAGAATAGAAATGTATGCTTTTATCTGCATGTTTGTGATCACTGTGAGTCTCAGATAATTATTCCAGTTTTCAATGATTTTTCAAAATAAAAGTCAATCAGCATTGTTATTCATCATTTAGGTATTGAACACTGGATTGCATGGTTGAATGTGTCTTTAATCCACTACAAAATGTGCTTGTTATTGATAGGATCATGTTGTTAAATTGTATATTTTCAAAATTAATTGATGTTTTTAAAATGTTGAAACCAAAGTAGTCTAGAAGTATGGACTTAATTTAATTGTAAAATTATTAGAGGTATTTGTTGTAGAGCTTTATATATTAAAGAGAGGTATTGGTGCATATAAAAACAGTAATATTATTGTTATGCTTGTATTCTTGCATTTCAGGGTAAGTAAATCCTGAAGAAATCTTATTTTAGTATAGCTACAGCTGCAGTAGCTTTTAAGGATGTGTCAACATTTCATTATAAATTATAGCTTCCTGGTTTGGTGTCTCAGCTGTTTCAGAACTTTCAGCCAAGTTAAATCTTTTTTGGTGTTGAAACTTTTAGTAAGTTGAGTAAGCTATTTTTTTTCCTACAGTAATCCACAATCTGTTCTTTGTGTGGGTTGACACCTATTTATAATTCTTAAAATGAGGATCGCTCAGAGGAACCAAATACAGTCGTTTAGCTTGCTACTGTTGAGTATGAGTAGCAGTAGTTTGTTTTCATTAATGCAGTTTTCATAATGTATCCCAGAATTTTAAATCTTGACCATAGAAAAATACAGTCATTCATTGGCAAAGATGTACAGTGTTGTTTAAGTGCAGTGAGGAAATGAAGGGAATTTTTATCTTAGAAGTGGATGACTCATGAATAAATCTAGGTACACAGTAAGTGTATGATATAGATGTTTGATTTGTAAATTACAAATATAAATTATCACCATTTCCATTTATTTTCTTGATATGTCAAGATGTGTTGATTTAGTGATTCTCAATCTTACCTACATATTAGAAAGCCTGGCAGAGCTTTAAAAAATTGATACCTGGGTCCTATCCCATAACAACTAAATGAAAATCACTTTTTTTTTTTTAAGCTTTCCAAGTGGTTTTAAAGGGCACCTAGGGTTGAGAACTCATTATAAAATGATCTGATTACACTGGACACTGTTTTGGACATATCAGAATAGAACAGTTCAATTTGCAGCTACTGAATGATTAATTATATATCTTAGTTGTTTTTGTTTGTTTGTTTTTTTAAGAGACAGGGTCTTGCCTTGTCTCCCAGGCTAGAACACAGTGGCATGATCATAGCTCACTGAAGCCTGAAACTCCTCGGTTCTCAAAGCATTGGGATTATAGGCGTGAGTCACTGCACCTGGCCGAGTAATTTCTTTCTTTGGGAAGTAATTAGTCTTACCTTTCTTTTTTTCTTTTTTTTTTTTTTTTTTTTTTTTTTTTTT